CATTCTAGCCTTGCTAACACAAGGACAAACTCGAGCTAGCCTCCTTCAGGCTACCTTCGCGATTTGCTTATCTCCCAAGCATCCGCGGCAATGGGACAATGGAGCACCCCTGCCTTGACCCACACGCTCGCCGAGCTCCAGGCCGTCGATCCATCCCGCAGACGGGGACAGGTCTGCCTGGCTGCTTCGCGTGCTGGAGCTGGAGATCCTTGGCTCTCTCTAAGCCAGGACTCATGGTGAAACTAGAAGGTTTTGCTGGTATCGTTTTCAGACTCCCTGCCTCTTTTGCCAGCTCTAGAGGACCCTGAACGTAGGAATCTCCTCCTGCCTGTTTTTGTTGCGTGTGCGCGTGTACGCTACAATCACACGCCGTCACATACTTTTGCTGCGCGGCCCAAGAGCTGGACATGTGTCTTACACAGCGATTGTAGACTTGCTGTTCTAGTCGGATATACATGTCTCATTTTATATATATATATACATACCTTTTTTATGTATATATGTATATACATATATATGTTCCTATTCTGACACCGGGCCCCTTTTGCCGAGCAAGCTTTCTGTGAAGAAGGCCTGCTCAGACCAATCCACACACACGATGAACACACAGGAGCATGAGTCTCTCAACCTTTCGATGAGCGCCAAGACAATTCCGGTGACGGGGCCACCTTCAGAATTGTTCAGAAGAAAACAGGGCCCAGTTCTGAAGAGCAGACTGACGGCGCGCGCCTTGTCCTGTCAAAACTTCTGGAAAATGTAACGCCATAATTTCATGAAGAGCATCAACAAGATTGCCTCAATCACAGCCAGCAGAACACTGTTCGCATCTCTTGTGTCTTCTCTTTCCACTGTCAGAACGCCAACGAGAACGTTTGTCCAACTGTTCGCTGTTCAGTGCAGCGCCGAACATTCGGATCTGGTGGGGGCAACCTCGAAAACAAACAAACAAACAGGCGTGGGCAAGCGCGAGTTGAGCGCACTCAGGTGGGGAGGCCAGAGCCCTCAGTCCAATTAAAACACAAAGCATTCACTTGTTTCATGAAGCAAACGCAGAGGGCAAAAAGCAAACGGCAGAATGCAACTTGATTTTTTGGCAAAGAGCAAACGCCACCGTCTCGTGTACCACTTTCGTGCTAAAGCTGCTTTTCGGAGCTTGCCCAGACCAAGGGGATTCAAGCCTCAGGCCGCTGGCTTCAAAGAGCAAGTTTCGAGCCCGTTCCCAAATTTGCCCTTGTAACATAGCATGCCCCCTTTGCGGTTTTTTACAGTGGCCGCAAATTGTAGCGAAAAAAGCTTGGCTTTTGAACCTCGAGCTCGCAGGCGGTTGACGCCAATCCACGCCCGTGAGAGGGCCGGCTTCCCGATCGACAAGCGCACCGCCTTCAAGACTAATTTGCACTTGTCAAGCTTTCCTTTCTCTCTTTCACGCAAGAATTCACTAAACTACTTCTCTAGCGAAGCACCGCGCGCAACTCGCTTAAGCTTTCTCTTGTCTCGACCTCTCGTGTGTAATTCACTGCTTAAGCGTGTAACTTGCTCTAGCAAAGCTTGCTCAAGAAACTTCTCATGTAACTTGCTTGCGTCGCGCAACTTGCCGGTGCAACTTGACTCGCGCAATCGGCGCCAGGCTTTCCGGAAGAACTCTTGGCAACGCTTTTGAGAAATTAGTCGATGGTGCGAAACAGCCGGCCACCCAGGCCCCCTCTCTTCTTCTCTGCATTTTTCCCCTGTCATTTTCCTTTCAATTCTCTTCATATCCCTTCATTTGCACTCCTTCCGCTTTATTCCCTTGATTCCCCCCCTTCATTTCCTTGCGTTTCCCTTCGCGTGCCGTCACGCAGCCTGCGCTAGCAAACCTAGAGCAAGATTGGCTGAAGCCCGCGTGGCCCAAGGTTCAGCCGCGTGACGCAGCTCCGCAACAAGGGTCTCTGCACGCGCGCGCGTGCGCATTCGCACGTTTGCATCTAGCGGGTCAGCTTCTTGCACCGGGTTTGCAAAGGTGCTGCCTGCTTGGCTTTGAACATGTAAAGGAGCAACAGCTAGCGGGTATGAAGTTCAGCGTCGCAATCCTACTGTGGCCGGTTGTGCGCCAACTGCGTAAACATAGACCTTCGTCCCTCGGCCCGATGCGGGCCCTTCGCCATACGCGGGCTGCAATTAGACATGTGAGGGGGAGATGTTTTCAAACACATGCTTCCGCGGTCATGACCTGCTCCTTGGTCACAAACATTGTTGCGGGTGTTGTCATTGATTCTTTTGCATGGCTACAGTTGTCCAAAACACCAATTAAGGCGTTGATGCTTATCCCTGCCAACTCCAAGTAAAGGGGCAAGTCTATAAACATCTGCGTGAAAGGAACCAAGATTGGGACCCTGCTTCCACGATAACCTGTTTTAGGACCAGCCTCAACCAAAGTAGGCAGCTATAACACAAACGCATCTGGCCCAGGCGTCGCAGAGCACGCACGCGTGAGGCTATCAAGATCAAGCACCTCTTCCTCCGGCAGCACCACCTGAGACAAAAGGAAATCGTTGTGATCTCGTCGGTTCAGCTCCCAGAAATACAACTGCCAGAGCCTAAATTGTGGTGGAGGGGACCCGAGACTCGTTTTGAGTTGCATGCACGCTGCTTCTAGGCTACTTAAGCGCATGCACTTTCTTGCGCCGTGACACACGCACACACTGCCCTTGCGGCACAAACAAAATCACTGTTGGCCCTATCATGCAAGCCGCTAGTCAAAATGATTCTGGCGCCGCAACCCCGCGCTAATTTCTGACGCGCCTCCTGACATTTGGTGACAACATTCACGACAGGCGCACCTTTTGCCGAGAAGTTCAGGCTTGTTGGAAAAAGGCAGCAATCCTGCCTTCAATGGGATGATGCCTGAAGATAACGGTACACTTCTTCGCAGGAGCAGGCTGGTTAACAAGGACTGGTGGCAACAGGCACATTCTGCACAACGATTGCAAAAGCTGCTCCGTTTGGAGGGTCATGCGCGCATTTAACTGCAGCCGCAGCGCTTTGGAGCCATGGTGTTGGTTTCGTGGCAGGCGCAGCATTTTGGAGGGCCGCGCGTTGCGTTTTGTGGCAGGCGCAGCCTTTGGAAGATGACTGGCAGGAGTGTTGATGGATACAGATAGCCAGACAGGTAGGTAGACAGATAGACAGATAAGACAAGATGTGATAGACAGATAGAACAAAGGAGGATATAGCTGTATACATAGATGGACAGACAGAGCGATAAATAGATAAATAGATAGATAGATAGATAGCTGCACAGATAGATAGATAGATATATAGATAGACAGACAGACAGACAGACAGACAGACAGACAGACAGACAGACAGACAGACAGACAGACAGATTGCTTGATAGATTGCTTGATAGATAGATAAGACTAGAACAGAAAAGATTAGAAGAGATTGGAATAGATTGGAATAGATTAGATAGATAGACAGATAGACAGATAGACAGATAGATGATCGGTAAGGTAGGTTTGGTCAAGATGATGGGCTTTGTGGAATATGTGATGCAATGGGCTGCGTCTGCCTGTTTGCTGCTGTGTCTTGCACGGTCGTTTTCACGTGCTGGAGTTCCTTCTCTGGAAGAAGCGACACCTTGGCCCTTCTACATTTCATAGTGTTTAGAATGCAGAGATAGAACATATAAGATAGAACATGAAATGACTGCAGGAATAGCAAATGCTTGCTCAGCCTTTGCTGTTTGAACTTACCCACATTGGGCAGAGTGACACTAAGACAGCAAACAATTAGATTTTGAGTAGTTTTTGTGGTGGAAAAGGTGGGTTGTGGCGGGGAGGGGGGTAGCAAATAGGTGTATGGATGTGGATAGATACAAAAAATAGGCCAAAAAGCGAATAAAAGGGAAGGCAGGGACACGCTCACCACACACACAGACACACACGCCGTAGCTTTGGGCAATTTCTCCGCGTTCTCGCTCGTGGCTTCTGTGTGTGTGTGTGCGTGTTTGTGTTCTTTCTTTTTTTGTGGTGTGTGTGTGTGTGTGTTAGTGTATGCTTGTGTGTCTTCCTTTTTGTGTGTATGTGTGCGATTTTGTTTCATGTGTTTGTTTGTGTGCCTTTTTAAGTGCGCCCTTGTGTGTGTGTGTGCTTTATATGTTCTTGTGTGGTGTTGTGCGTCTTTGTGCGTGTTTATTTGTGCGTGTTTGCTTTTGTGTCTGTGTTTCAAATGTAGTGTTTTAAGTGTGTGCTACGTGTGTGTGTGTGTGTGAGATGTGTGCGTGTGCTTTTATGTGTATGCTGTGTTTTTGTGCGCGTGTGTGTCGGTGTCTGTGTCTGAGTGCGTCGGTGTCTGTGTGTCTGTGTTTGCGTCTGTGTCTGTGTGCGCTGCGTTCGCCTGTTGTGTGTTTGTCTGTTTGTCTGCTGTGTGTGTGTGGGTGTCTGTGTGTGTGTGTGTGCGTTTGCGTTTTTGTGTCTTTTGGAGCCACCATTTGGGGGTCCTAATTTGTGAAACGCCCCTTTGCGCTGACCACGGCGAAGTAGAAGCAAGCTGCACGGGTGTCCCCGCTGAATTGCCACTGAACCGTGACCCCTGCTCAGAAAACATAAGGGGCCCTTCACTTTGGAAACCCCCCCCCAATCGGCCAAGTGCATTTCTTGGCAGTTTTGGGAGACAGCCCGCTTGCAAAAAAAGGCCTTGAGTGCCAAGTAGGATGGTACTTAAAAGAAGCCCTTCCCTCTGCTTTCCTTCTGCTCGGGGTAAACTGACCCGATAGCAAGCAACTTCAAATTGCAGGAGTACTGATAGGAGAAGCATAAACCCACTGGCAAACAACTAATCTTTGAATCCCCAGTTTTGTTGGTCCTTCACCGGGTGAGGAAACCCAAGCTGACCTTTCTACATATGTAAAGTCCCCACATTGGTTTTCGCTCGTTTGACCCCCGAACCGAAGGAATTGCTGGAAAACAAAGAGCACACGTATCTTCACAGGTTTGTTTTCTCCGGCTGCATCCAGTCGCTATGTTGTAGAGCACCAAGAGCTTCTTTTGCAGGAACAGCAAGGCCCGGTGCTGCGTAAACCACATGCCCGCAACAAGGCTGAAGACGGTAAAAACCAGGCAAACCACCCAGCTCTTGACCTCCAGGGCTCAGTGAGTTGACCGGTGTATATTTTGTTCAGGGACTGTTTGGTGTGGGCTGGGGAAGCCGAAACGGAACCATTTTGGTAGACCCAAAGTGTTTCTCGAAATGGTTTACCCTCGTTCGGTTGCTACACCAAGAGAAACCAAAACGAATCCAAGCATCTTACCCACTTTGAGAGAGCGCCTTGCTTGAATTCAAAGTAACCATACCGTGGAGCAAGGGGCTGTCAGCATGTTACCACTTTGAGAAAGCGCCTTGCTTGAATTCAAAGTAAACCATACCGTGGAGCAAGGGGCTGTCAGCATGTTACCCACTTTGAGAAAGCGCCCAGCTTGAATTCAAAGTAAACCATACCGTGGAGCAAGGGGCTGTCAGCATGTTACCCACTTTGAGAAAGCGCCTTGCTGGAATTCAAAGTAAACCATACCGTGGAGCAAGGGGCTGTCAGCCCCCTTTGAGAAGGCGCATTGCTTGAATTCAAAGTAAACCATACTGTGGAGCAAGGGGCTGTCAGCATGTTACCCACTTTGAGAAGGCGCATTGCTTGAATTCAAAGTACACCATACCGTGGAGCAAGGGGCTGTCAGCATGTTACCCACTTTGAGAAGGCGCATTGCTTGAATGCAAAGTAAACCATACTGTGGAGCAAGGGGCTGTCAGCATGTTACCCACTTTGAGAAGGCGCATTGCTTGAATTCAAACTAAACCATACTGTGGAGCAAGGGGCTGTCAGCATGTTGCCCACTTTGAGAAGGCACATTGCTTGAATTAAAAGTAAACCATACCGTGGAGCAAGGGGCTGTCAGCATGTTACCCACTTTGAGAAGGCGCATTGCTTGAATTCAAACTAAACCATACCGTGGAGCAAGGGGCTGTCAGCATGTTACCCACTTTGAGAAAGCGCTTTGCTTGAATTCAAAGTAAACCATACTGTGGAGCAAGGCATGTTACCCACTTTGAGAAGGCGCATTGCTTGAATTCAAAGTAAACCATACTGTGGAGCAAGGGGCTGTCAGCATGTTACCCACTTTGAGAAGGCGCATTGCTGGAATTCAAAGTAAACCATCCCGTGGAGCAAGGGGCTGTCAGCATGTTACCCACTTTGAGAAAGCGCCTTGCTTGAATTCAAAGTAAACCATACTGTGGAGCAAGGGGCTGTCAGCATGTTACCCACTTTGAGAAGGCGCATTGCTTGAATTCAAACTAAACCATACTGTGGAGCAAGGGGCTGTCAGCATGTTACCCACTTTGAGAAGGCGCATTGCTTGAATTAACAGTAAACCATACTGTGTAGCAAGGGGCTGTCAGCATGTTACCCACTTTGAGAAGGCGCATTGCTGGAATTCAATCTAAACCATACTGTGGAGCAAGGGGCTGTCAGCATGTTACCCACTTTGAGAAAGCGCATTGCTTGAATTCGAAGTACACCATACCGTGGAGCAAGGGGCTGTCAGCATGTTACCCACTTTGAGAAGGCGCATTGCTTGAATTCAAAGTAAACCATACCGAGGGGCTGTCAGCATGTTACCCGCTTTGAGAAAGCACCTTGCTTGAATTCAAAGTACACCATACTGTGGAGCAAAGAATGCCCCCACCTGCACGGTCTGAACCTCCACCTCGCGTCTTCCCACGTAGCCCAGGACGGAGCCCAGCATCGTGAAGAGCAGGTGAAATTGGGTGTTGCCTCAGAATACCCAGATTTGGGGAAATCAGTACTTCTGGTTGGCTCCATGTCACCTTTGTTTTCCCCCTCAAAAGAAAGGAAGAACACCTGAACTGGATGTCTGGGTTGCTTCTGAGGAGGACCAGGACAGCGAAGAGTTGAAAAATATGCTCCAGCACCATCCTCAGGCAGCGACGCAAAAAGTGTGTGTGTGTGTGTGTTTTTCTTCTATTGGTTGGGGCTGATTCAAAGGGACTATGGGCTCTCCTTGTACGAAGCAAACATACTGCAAAAAGAGCCCTGGAAGGCCCTTCCAGTGATCTGTTGGTTTAACAGGGAAAACGAAGGAACGCACAAAAACACCAAGTTGGGCGACCCCAAACGGGTTCTAATATCCGGGTTCCAACCGCCGGGTTTTTTGCCATCCGTTTGAAACCCATACTATCTAGAACCCATTTGGGGTACCCAACGATTCTACACAGAAAGATAACTGTGTTGCTGGTTGAAAGAGAAAATGGACAACCAACATACAGAAAGCTCAAAAGGCAAGCTAAAACTGCCAATGAAAAAAAAGCTACTTCAGTCATGCGTCAGAATGCACCACTCCGCGAATCCGAGACACCACAGCCACGAAACCAGCCATGAAGAAACTGAGTTGAATATCAGACCCGCCCTCGGCACGTGCCAGGCCAAACGCAACAAATGGCTTCCTGACCTGACCCTTTAAACATCACTCCACACAGGTCCCCTTTAAACATCACCCAAGAAGAAACGTCTTTCAATTGGCGAAAAATCTGGGCCATCACTCAAATGTGTGATTTTCCGTGAAACAGAAAACGGGTCTCCTAAGCTCAAGATAATGTCCCGATAGGAGCAGAGTACTACTTGTGCAACTAAACGCTGGCTGCGACTTCCACGTTCAATATTCGAGCTGCAACTGCGCAGGCATACTTCGCGAACCGTTTTCACAAAAGCTACACTTTCCAGCTCCAGCTGCTGGAGCGCACTTTTTGCTTACTATTTTCGTTCTTGAGAGTTGCGAGTTTTGAGCCACAAAATTGCAGTGTGTACTTCGCGTACTACCTCCGTGCTGAAACGCTGCGAGTGTACTTGGCTTGCTACTTTCATACTTAATTGTTGCGATGTTGATTCAAGCCGCAACTGGAAGTGTGTACTTTGCGCGTCCAAAACAAAATCAAAACATGAAGCAGAAACGCTTCAGCCGAGCAAGTGGTTTGTTTAATCAGCTGGCGTTGCGCGGCTTCACTCCAGCTGTGGAGCGCACTTTGCGTAACCAATTCCTCATTGCGAGACTTTGCGTGAGTGCACTGCGCCCCGCGTACTGCTTTCGTGCTTGAAAGTTGTGAGTTGCGAGCCGCGCACGGCCGGAAAAGCGCACTTCGCGTACTACGTTCGCGCAGAAAAAAAGTGTTTTTCAAGACGCAACAGGAAAGACGCACTTGGCTGATTTTTCGAAAAGGCAGCAATTGTCAAAGCGCCGCAAAACAAGGTGCTTCGCATACACCTTTCGTTCTTAACATTGCCATTGCTGAGCTGCAGCTGGAAAGTGTACCACGTTCGCGCTGAACAATTACGATTTCCAAGCTGCAGCTGGAAAGGCGTGCTTGGCTGACTATAATTGAAAAAGTTGCGATCTTCCTGCCTCTTTGTAGATTCGCACGGTGCCACAGCGAGATCACTTCGACAGGCACGATTCCCCAGAGGGTTACTTCGCAAAGCGCCATAGCACTCCGCAGACAGTTTTGAAAGTTTGCACAGCGCGACAGCGAGAACGCTTCGACCCGCCCAATCCCCGCAGAGAGGCTCTTTCTCTAGCTTCCTGTGGGCCTACCCGCTAGAGAGAAAAAACAAGAACCAAGACTCGAGAAGAGAATGTGGAAAAAAACAATTACACCAGCGTAGACCTCAGGTGGCTTAAGACAGGTCGAGGATTGCAAACTGCTCGTTGGCGGCCAGATCATATCAATTCAGGGACTTCTGGATGCAATTGAAGGAGCCAAGACCTTAAAGTGTTTTTGTTTGCTCCGTTTGTGTGGGCAGCACGGGTGCTTGAAGCTTGCAGAAGTTGAAGGGAAACTTTGAAAGGGGGCAGGAAAAGTTGGATGGAAAATTTGGGCTAGTGGTTTAAGCGTGATGATATGAGCTTCTGCTTTAGGGGCAATGAAGAAACACCAGAAGTTGGCATCGCACTTGAAACGTTGAAAAAAAAGACATCATGACATCAGGTTCATAATTTCATCACCAGGTTCATCATTATTTTCAGTATGCTGTATCATCATCGTTTATCGGTTCGTCATGTTCATCATCATTGTCATCATCATTGTCATCATCATGTTTATTACCATTTTCATCATGATGATCATCACTTTTGTCACCATTGGCATCTTCATTTGTTTTTATCATCATGAGCATCAATATTTTTCATTATCAGTTTCATCATCATTGTTTTTACCATTCATCAACATGTTCATCATCTTCGTCATCATCATCATCATCCTCGCTATTGTAATTGTCATGGCAACATCCTCTGCATCTGTGCCTCATTTCCAGAAAAATAAGGATGATGATCATCTGCTTCATCAGTCTCTCATTTTCAACATCATATTCGTCCTCATGTTCATCATTTTTATCATGATCGTTTATCATCATCATCATCATCATCATGAAAGTCTGCATTTCCTCTGCAATCTGGAACTTGTAACCTCGAGACACACACCCAGAAAGCTTCTGTGGTAAGCCACGGCTCCTCAAGAGCTGGCGGCTGATACTTCCCTCGCCCAACAACTGCGGCAGCACATTGCCTCAGGTGATCGTCGGACTCTACAGGCTGTCTCCGGAACACATACACATATTTATATATATATATAATATGTGTGCTTGCTTTGCTTTTTCGTTCGTACGTTTGCTTGGTATTTCAGTCGTTTGTTTCATCGATTCTTTGTTTCTTCCTTTCTTGTTTCCTTGTGTCTTTCTTTGTTCGTTGTGTTTGTTTGCTTGCTTGTTTGTGTGCTTGCTCGCTCGCTCTCTTGCTTGCTTGTTTGGTAGTTTGTATGTTTTTGTTTGCTTGCTTGCTTGCTCTCTTGCTTGCTTGCCTGCTTGCTTGCTTTCTTGCTTGCTTTCTTGCTTGCTTTCTTGCTTGCTTTCTTGCTTGCTTGTTGGGTAGCTTGTATGTTTGCTTGTTCGCTTGCGTGCTTGTCTTGCTTGTGTTGCTTGTTTGTTTGTTTGCTTGCTTGCTTGCTTGTTTGTTTGTTCGCTTGTTCGTTTGCTTGTTTGCTTGTTCGTGTCTTCGTCTTTTTGCTTCCTTGTTTCTTTGCACGTCTCTTTGTTTGGCTGATTTGTGTTTGTTTGCTTGATTGTGTGTTTCTTTGTTTGCTTGCTTGCTCATGCTTGTTCGCTTGTTTGTTTGCTCGCTTGTTCGCTTGTTTGTTTGCTCGCTTGTTTGTTTGTTTGTTTGTTTGTTTGTTTGTTTGTTTGTCTGCCTTGTCTTCTTTGACTCTTTTGTTTGTTTTGCTTGTTATGCTTCTGGTTGGCTTTGCTTGGCTTCGGTTGGCTTTGTTTGTTTGCTTGGTTCTGCTTGTGTGCATTGGTTTGCTTGTTCTTCTTATGTTTGGTTGCTTTGTTTGTTTGTTTGCTTGCTTGCTTGCTTGTTTGCCTGTTTTTGCTTGTTTTCCTGTCTTCGTTTGCTTTCGTTTGCTTTTGTTTGTTTGTTTGTTTGTTTGTTTGTGGTTTTGTTTGCATTTGTCTTGTTGCATGTTTGTTTACCTTTGCTTGCCGTTTGTTTGCCTTTGCTTGCGTTTTGTAGCTTTGGGTTGCTTTCGATTGTTTGTTTGTTTGTCTGTCTGTGCGTTTGCTTGTTTGCTTGATAGCTTACTTGTTTGTTGGTTGGTCGGGTGGGTGGGTGGTTGGTTGGTTGGTTGGCTGGTTGCTTTGCTAGTTACTTTTGTTGTTGTCTGCTTTGATTGTTTTGTTCTCTTTGTCTTTGTGTTTGTGCCCAAGTGCGTTTCGGAGGTTCTGTGTGTGTGCTTCTTTGTTTGTGTGTGTGTTTGTGTCTTTTGGTGTTTGCGTATTTGTGTGCTTGGTTGGTTGCTTGCTTTCACGCTTGCGCGTCTGTGTGTCTGTGTGATTGTCTTTTGCGTGCGTTTGTGCGTTTGCGTGTTGGTGTGTGTGTGTGTTCTTGGTCTTTCTTGTTTGTTTGTTGTTTGCCTGTTTGTTTGCGTATTTGTTTGCTGGTTCGCTTGATTTTGATGGTTTGTTTGCCTGCTTGTTTGCGTGTTTGTTAGCTTTTTTGTTTGATTGTTTGTTTGATGCTTTGATTGCGGTTTGTTTGATGGCTTTTTGGTGGTTTGTTTGATGGTTTGTTTGTTTGTTTGTTTGCTTGCTTGCTTGCTTGCTTGCAACTTGCACGTGCTTGCTCGGCAACCACTCACACACTCTCACCCACTCAACGCGCACGTACAAACTTAGCATCAGCATGGGCAGAGTGCCGCGACTGCCACGCAAGCAGACGGCCTTCCCACGGCGCCCGGCCCGCGCGTCCCTGCCACACCAAACAACATCAGCGTGCGTAAGTCTAGAGTGAGTTGAGTGAGTGTGAGAACATGTGTGCTGTTCTGCCTGGCAGGCGCAGTTTTTTAGAAAGGCCTGCACACACCGGGCAGGTGGAGTGAGTCCGCACGCGTAAGTCAGGGAGTGGAAGTGCAGCAGTGAGAGTAGAAGGAGAAGAAGGAAGGAGGAGGAGGAGGAGGAGGAAGAGGAGGATGAGAGAAGGAGCGAGCAGTGCGGACAACGATGGTGAAAGTAAGAACTTCACACAAAAATGTAGAGACACACAAACCAAGCAACAAAGAATCACGCAATCAAACAAACAAGCAAGAGTGAGCGAGTGAGTGAGTGAGTGAGTGAGTGAGTGAAGTGAAGTGAAGTGAAGTGAAGTGAAGTGAATGAAGTGAAGTGAAGCGAAGCGAAGCGAAGTGAAGTGAAGTGAAGTGAAGTGAAGTGAGTGAGTGAGTGAGTGAGTGGAGTGAAGGTAGTGAGGTGAGGTGAGGTGAGGTGAGGTGAGGTGAGGTGAGTGAGTGAGTGAGTGGGTGAGGGAGTGAGTGAGTGAGAGTGAGAGTGAGAGTGAGAGTGAGAGTGAGAGTGAGAGTGAGAGTGAGAGAGTGAGAGTGAGAGTGAGTGAGTGAGTGAGTGAGTGAGTGAGTGAGTGAGTGAGTGAGTGAGAGAGTGAGAGAGTGAGTGAGTGAGTGAGTGAGTGAGTGAGTGAGTGAGTGAGTGAGTGAGTGAGTGAGTGAGTGAGTGAGTGAGTGAGTGAGTGAGTGAGTGAGTGAATATGTATGAATGCATGGTATGTATGTATGCATGTATGGGTAGCGGTTGCCTGGAAGCTGAAACTCCTGGGGCAGGTGCAGCGCTTTGGACTTGTCTGTGTGGAATCGGCGCCCTGGGGCTGTTTGCATGGCAAGCAAGCGAGCGCGCTGATGGCCTGCCTGGCAGGCGCCTGACTTTGCTGTGCGTGGCACACATACTCGCTCTCCTCACAACTCACACTCACTTTCTTAGGCATACTTCCTTTCACCCGCTCAACTTACTCTGACTTGCACAAACTTGCAGAAGAGTCCAACAAGCTGGTTTTCGTGCGCTTCCGAAGCTATTCTCTGGACACCCCGTTGAAAGAAAGACTGCCGTGAAACGCTTCCGTTCTTGAGGTTCGAGACAAGGGAAAGACTTGACAATGAAGGGCAATGAATCAACAGGCTGCTTTTCACGCTCTTCCAAAAACATTCTTTGGACACCTTATTGAATCAAGGGCTGTAGAGGAGTCCGGTGTTCATAGAATCTTGTTATATAAGTGTCCAACAAGCTGCGTTGGAAGCCCTTCCAAAAAGAATGCGTGAAGACCCCGTTCAATCAAAGGTTGTGGCAACCAAAGTGCCTGCAAAGCTGGTCGCCCAGCAACAGTCCCAGCTGCCGTACTCATACGGACCGTTCACCACGCATGTCTACAATCATCCATACTGTGGACACCAGGGACTTCCATAACACATCCGTCCAACATTGGCACTCTTTTCGGCAAAGATTCAGGGACCACTACTACAACAGTGGTGCCTTTTCCTCCGTGAAAAGGACCCGCGGTTTGGGACTCAATTGTGGTAGCGGAGCAGGTTTCTCAAAGAGATTTTCCAAGATGTCATCCGACGGGGAAGACTTCATGGAGGCACATTCAAGCGAAGGCTCCATCCGGCTTCACTGAAGAAACACTCAACTTATCCATGGCCGCCAAGCAGCCGCCATCGCACGACAGATCGGTCACATACAACCATCCAAGAGAGGACACCTCAAAAGTACTCCTCAACAAGGGGCTTCAAGACCCTGATGAAGGAGTGAACCACTTCAAGAACACGCGGAAGAATTCCATCCTGAACAAAACCACTACCGTGTATCTTGACAGGCTCCTCAGTTTCTTCAATCACGGAAGACAGAACAAAACTAGACATCCTCCTCAGAGGCAGCCTGGACTACCTGATACCAGTCTATACGGCTCAGTCACCACAATCTCTTCCCTCCGTACAAGAAGCAAGTGCAAGAGCCTTTACCCGACATCAGCAAGCAGGCAATG